CCTAGCAAAGGGCACTTTGGTCTGTCACTGTTTGCAGAGCAGTGTTTGCTTTAACACAGAATCGGGGAGAGTGAGGAAACTGGTTTGGCTGGTTTACGGGGTGGGAAGGAGCACAGGGAAAAGTTCTGAACCACAGGTAAAACACATGGGAGAGACGCAAGCAGAAGGCACCAAATACTTCGGGGCTTTAATATTTAATATTCATTGAGCACCTGGTACTGTTAGGCCCACTTTACAGATGAGGAAACTAAGGCTTAGAGGATAAGGTCCTTGGCCGACCTCCCCTCAGGTGGCAAGGGACATTCCCTGGGTTTCAACCTAGGCAGTGTGACTCAAGAACCTTCTAAATGATGGAAATATGCCACCAGAGCCTTGGCAGGGGGGGTGGAGGATTAGATGCAGAGAAGAGGAAGGAAGGCGAAGACGAAATGTGTAAAAACAAGGTGGCTAAAGCCCTCTGGACAGCAGCAAGCATGAGCTCAAGTGTATGAAAGATAAAGTTGAAGTAGCAAGAGAGAGAGGCAGAGAAAGGACGAAAGGCCACCACAGGAATTTCTTTCAATTGACCAAAGATGAAAAACACTTAAAAATGGCTGCCTTTCCCCTTCCAGATTCAGGTTTGAGGGCTCCCGCCTCTGCCCTCTGGCATTCAGAAGGAAGCACTCAGCACGCTGTAATCCTGGGACACACTTATGGGGTAGCCCAGCTTCGAGAAGCACAGACTGGGCGTGCAGTGCTCACGTGCATCTTAGAAGGTTCTAACTGACAACTCTTCTGGTCCATTTAGATCTAGGACGGGCCTAAGGCCAAAGAATTTGAGAGGGGGAAAAAATAAGCCAATATATGAGGGGTAATAAACATTCATTCATTTCTTCAAAATAATATTTGAGTGCCTACTCTGTGCTAAGAATATGAGGCACCATTTAATATTTCCTGTTTCTTTACATCATCTCTCTTCTTTATGTTCAGCCCAGATCTGCTTTATTAATTACTGTAACCCCAGAGTCTAGCCCAGTGCTGGCACTCTTACTTGTTGGCTAGCCAAATTAAAACAAACACGCCTTTTAATCCTCACAACAAACCGCTAAGTACTACTACCCCCCCCCCATTTCACAGGTGGAGAAACCGAGACCCAATCAAATAAAGCGTTTTACCCAAGGTCACATAGCTAGGAGCTGAAAGACAAACCTGGACCTTTGATGTGCTTACTCACAAACTCTCCTGACCAGCCATACAGACTCATTCCCCTCCTTGAAGGCCTAAAGCCCTAAAAAGAGATGGGAGTTGAGGCAGAGTAGAAACTCAAAGTCTGAATTGTGACAGGTGCCTCTCGGGGATTTTAGGATTTTGGCAGCTCCTGGGAGATGTGAGAGGTGATTGCTTCAGCGTCTGGCTTATCTGGGGTTACACTTGGAAGGGAATGTGTAACAGACACCAAGGTGAGCATTTCGGAAGAAAAGTCTCACCCAATAAAAAGCTCCAGAGAGCAAACAGGGATTTCCATAACCATCTGGCAGAGGCAGGACAGGTCCGGCAGGCAGGCCCCAGGGGGAGCAGCAGCCAGACTTCCTTACATAGCCTTGCAGGGCCCAGGACCTGGGAGGACCCAGATCTCCTTCCCCGGTGAGCTTGACATTAACCTTTGTCACAGATGTGAGTAATCATGAACTGAGTGAGTTTGAGGGACAGGGGAGTGGGTGTCTGATGATGTAAGGAGATTCCCAAAGCAGGTTTCCGTATTTGTTTTTTTTTAAGCCCAGTTTAATTAGGAGGCCTGCACCCTGTTTCTACCACCTTTCAGCACATCTTTTAGAAAGGGGGAAATGGATGTATTTAATCCACACAAGTGGGTGCTTGTGAGCTAGGTCAATCCATCAAGGAGCCAGAGCTCAAACCCAAAACAGAAGCCCTGTACACCTGAAACCAGGTGGTGAAGCAAAGCAAGAAGCCATTGGTTTCCAAGCCTGTCTGCTTTTTGCAGCTCACCCCTCTATCAACTTAAAGCTGAAGGCAATATGAAATAGCCGGGGTTTCTCAAACCAGTTTATGCCAGAAAAAAGAAAAATTCTCAAACTCTAGAAAACTGGTTTAAAGTTGTTTGTTTTTTAAAACATTCTCTATTCTAGAACCTGGAGAGTTACCAAAGACATAAATTCAGGGCCGAGGCCGTGGGGACGTCCATCTCACAGAGCACAACAATCGCCCCAGCAAACCACTCCAGGGTCCCCTGAGTTCGGTCAAACCCTATTCGTGACACCCTATGGCAAACGGTGGACAAAAAGTAACAGGTTCCTTATTTTCAAACTCCCGTGAAGCGAATATTTAAACCTGGTGCTAATGTCACATCCTTCCACTTCCCTGGAGGGTCCAAAGAGAGTGAGGCCACCACCCTAAATCCTAACTGCCTTTTTAAGTCACAAAGCCAGTCTTCTGAGGTCACATGTGTGATTTTACCAGAAGGGCACTTCCGTCCTGGGGTAATTCCACACTGGACTCGGAGGAAGGTCTAAACGGTGAAATGTCAGCAAATCTGCTGATGGGACGGGTCTTGGACATAAAGGACACTGAACCCAGCCACACAGGCGGCTTTCAGAAGCTGCCTCTCCCACCAAGCTCACCACCACAGGCCTCTCTCCACTTCCCACCTGTTGTGACCCATCTCCATCACCACCTCCTCCTGTTCTCGGGGTCCTGCTATATCAACACCTCTGCTCTCTCAGGCACACAGGGAAGACAACGTTTACTGCACAATGGACACTAATTCTCCAAACACCTCTTTTTTTGAAATGATTGAGAGGGGGAGAGAACAGGACAAAGACCAGCTGTGGATCTCTGAACGGATTACTAAATTGCTTTACGTTTCAATTTCCTCCCCTGCAAAATAGAAATAACAACAGTGCCTACCCTCATAAGATTCTTGGGAATAGAGGGGCGCCTGGGTGGCTCAGTCGGTTAAGCGTCCGACTTCGGCTCAGGTCATGATCTCGTGGTCCGTGAGTTCAAGCCCCGCGTCGGGCTCTGGGCTGACAGCTCAGAGCCTGGAGCCTGTTTCAGATTCTGTGTCTCCCTCTCTCTCTGACCCTCCCCCGTTCATGCTCTGTCTCTCCCTGTCTCAAAAATAAATAAACATTAAAAAAAAATTTTTAAAAAAAAAAAGATTCTTGGGAATAGATATACATATTTTTTAATGTTTATTTTTGAGAGCAAGAGGGCAAGTGGGGGAGGGGCAGAGAGGGAGAGCAGGCTCCACACTGACAGCACAGAGCTGGATGGGAGGCTCAAACCCACAAACTAGGGAATCATGACTTGAGCCAAAGTCAGACGCTTAACCGACTGAACCACCTAGGCGCCCCAGTTCGTGGGAATATTAAGTGGGATAAAATCGAGCACTTGCCCCAGAGTCTGGTTCAAAAGGAATAGGCTGCTATTAATAATAATGGTAATATTTATATTATTATGCAATAATATTCTTGGTCAGACCAAGAGCTTGTCTGGGGAAGAGGGGTGCAGGAGTGATAAAAGCAGACTAACTCACATCTGGACTTACCAAAAGCCTTGGTACGGGAAAACAAAGTGACCGGCGCTTGTCTTGGAACACCTCCACATACACAGGCACACCCCCAATTTCTAACTCCTGCCCCAATCTTCAAGGCCGGGTCAACTTTGCCTCCTCCAAGAAGCCAGCAGCCCTCACTGCCAACTGATACTCATCAAAACATCCCACACCACCCACATTCTTTGGCACCTGAATGCCCATGTCCCACAGTGCCCTCTAAGCGGGTCCTGGGGCATTCTCCATAATCTGCTGGAACGTGAAATACCAACAGCAGGCTGGAGTGTCTCCATATCTCTTCAATTCATTCCTGAGTTACCCAGCACAGGGCTGGGCAAGCTGTCAACCATCGACTAATGGTGGACCCACTGCAAAATCAGACACTTCCTTTCTCACTTCATAGAAAGCTCCACACAACACAGGCAGGCCTCAGAAAACCAAGTATGTTTAATCAATGGAGCTGCAGTTTCTCTGGGTGGGGGTGGGGGTAGGGGTGGGGGGGCGGGAGGGAATGCCACCCACTATTGGAACAACTTCCAAAATTCAAACAATTTTCACACAACAGCGTGATTGCTCAAGTTTTCATGTGGCCAAAGACTGGAAGAATAAACGCAGTGAATTTCCTTAGGGGAATTGTGGGTGATTTCTCATTTTAAAAAGTGTCTCTTTTATACTTATGATACTTGCCCAATCAACTGAAATCAAGAGGAAGAAATCGTTTGGTAGGAAATAAGCATCTGGGAATCAATGAAACCAGAAGAGAAACCAAGCTTCCCTTGCTCTCTCATTTCTGGGTAACAGTGAAATAAAGCTAACTCTAGAATCCTGATTATCACAGTGATAAGGCCCAGAAGTACATTGTGTGTGTTTTCATTCCTGAATCACAGCTACTGGTTTTTTTTTTTTTTTTAAAACCATTATTCATTGGGGGAATAGTAAGTGTATCAAAATGTTTTCATCTCTTTGAGCAAATGCCACAACCCTTGGCACCTCAGTCATCCCAGAGATGGTGCAGAATGGGGCCTGGGAATCAGTCCTAGTTCAAATTCCTGCTTGGCAGACCTGGGGCAAGTGGACTCCACCCTCTGAGCCTCCATTTGCTCATCTGCAAAACGGGAATTACTGCCGCCCCTCACCCCACACATCAGGTTTTAGCAGTCTGAAATGACAGACTCTCAAGTGGTCAGGACAATTTGACACACATTAAAGGCCTCTAAAAAATGCCCCCCCCCCCCCCCCCCCCCCCCCCCCACATAATTACCCATACCATAGCTCTCTCAACCACAATAAAAGTTTAGATCGTTACATCTGTGTAAATTCCAAAGGGGTGCCATTTGAGCCAGGAAAAAAGGGTTTGCGCAGTCCAGCCCAGAGCCGTGGGAGCAATTTCTCGGACCCTTCCCACTCCCACCGCACCCAGCTCGGGACCCCAGCAGTACGTCCTCACCTCTGCCCAGGACTCGGCCTCTCTCCAAATGTCGACGGGGCACGGTGAACGTGTAGCTGTCGGCGCCAAAGCCAGGACGGCAGGGCTCGGGCTCCTGGCAGAGCCCTGATGTGACCTGGAGTAGGGGAAAGGTATGGAACCAGGGTGATCGGGGGAGGGGGGTTCCCCCCGGCGAGGAGGGGTCGCCTCCTGCCCACACCGAAACCAACCGCGCCGCCCCTCCCTTGCTCCCAGCGTTGGCCTGTGGGAGGGATCCACCCTCACCCCCAACCCCCAGGGCAGGCAGCCACGCCAAACTCTTTCATTCCGAAACTTGCTGCCGCCAAGCTCCCAGGTACTCCCGGGAGAGGGGGGCTGCTGGGTCAACCTCCTCCCGACCAACCACTCCTTTCTTTGCATTCTCCTTTTTAAAATTTCACTAGAGGCAACTTTACTGTTCCCCACTTCACTTTCCTTATGCTGGGAACACTCCCACTCCTAAGTCTAGTTTCTCACACCGAAGGGCGCCCCAACACCTTTTGAGCCCTTTATTAACCCACGGCGCCCCATACCTGTTTACGAGCCTTTCTTTATAGGCAAGTGCTTTTATTTCTGTTGATTTCCCTTTCCTTACCTCAGGGGTCATCTCCACTACTCCTGGCTCCCCCGACTTGCAGCGGGACTCCCCTTTTCTGTACCCCGGCCCCCACCCTGCCCCACGCCCCCCACTGCCCGCCCCCAGCCTCTACCGCCGCCAGCTCGGAGTCCCCAGAGCCGCAGCGAGGCTCGCCCCCCAACTCTAGTATTTGCGCGAGGGAGTGGGCAAAGCCACGCGCTCTCCACCCGCACCCGCTCCCGCTCCCACTCCCACCTCCGTGGAGCCCAGAGCGCGGCGCAGCTTCCAGGCCATTCCTGGACCTAAACTTTCTTGGAAGAAGAGGGGACGAGAGGAGAGAGAGGAACGGGGCCGGGCGCGTGATGGTGGGGCCGGAAGGCGTCCCCCGCAAAACCAAGGGACGCGACGTACCTGTAGCAGCAGCAGGAGCGCGGAGACGCTACGGGACGGAGGGCCCATGGCGGGCCGGGCAGAGGTCGGGTCGGGCTGGGTCCCGCGGAGCTTGGCCGGGCTAGAGTACGGCAGGACTTCCGCGAACCCACAGGTGCTCTGCGGTTCCCGACGCCACTGAGCCGGGCAGCGTCGCGGCCGCCAGGTGAGCCTGGAAGGCACCGCCCCCCACAGCGCTGATTGGCTGAGGGTACACCTGCGGACCGCAGCCAATGAGCGGCGCGGCTGGGTCTCGGCTTGCCCCGCGGGCTGGGGGCGGTAGGCCCGCCCCTGACCCCGCCTCGCAGCCTCCAGCCGACCGGGTGACCGGCTGGCCAGCGATGGATTGCTAGTCCGGGGAGGGAATAGGGGCTCCAGGATTCCTGTTTCCACCAAGTTCCCTCCCAGCCGCGCGGTGGCTCACTAACACCTGGGGGCAGAAAGGACTTCTCTCTTTATCGGGTCCTGTCTTCTTAACTGCAGATCTCCACAGGTTCGTGAGTGTACAAATCAATCCACTGGGCAGGACCTACCTTTCAAGTCTGTTTCTCCACCCTCCAAATGGGAATACTAATCACAAAATCCTCCCTATGTTGTTGTGAGGTTGCCAACCAATTAATAAGACCAATGTTTTGGGGAGCCTGGCTGGCTCCCTCGGTAGAACATCTTGATCTCAAGGTCGTGCGCTCAAATCCCACACTGGGCATGGAGCCTACTTAAAAATAAATAAATAAATGAAAATAAATAAATAAGGGGCAACTGGGTGGCTCCGTCGGCTCTTAGTTTGGGCTCAGGTCATGATCTCACAGTTTTGTGAGTTCCAGCCCCCCATGGGGTTCTGCCCTGACAGTGCTGAGCCTGCTTGGGATTCTCTCTCTCTCCCTCTCTCTCTCTCTGCCCCTCCCCAAGTCGTGCTGTCTCTGTCTCTCTCGCAAACAAACAAACAAACAAACAAACAAATAAGGCCAATGTTTCCTGCACCATAAAAGCTCTATACAGATGTGAAGGATAAGGATAACAATAGCAAAATAGGTGCAGAGCATTGAAAGGTACTGAGCCAGGCTCTATGCCAAGCATTTAACATTGACCCTCTCACTTAATATCATCTCCAAAACAGCCCAAGAGCTTTTATTATTCTCATTTGCTAAGCAACTGAGGCATAAACATTTGGAGGCAAGGAGGTGAGGGAGGTGCTCTGATTCCAGGACCCTTCTTTCTATCAGCTTCACCGCGTGTAGACCCCAGATTGTCTAGGAGCTAGAGCTGGAGTTTTCAACCTGTCCTCTTTTTTTTTTTTTTTTTTTAATGTTTATTTTGAGAGAGGTAAAGAAAGAGAGAGTGTGAGTGGTTGGAGGGACAGAGAGAGAGGGAGAGAGAATCCTAAACAGGCTCTGAGCTGTCAGCACATAGCCCTATGTGCTCTCACAAAGCTGGAGATCCTGACCTGAGTCAAAATCAAGAGTCGGATGCCTAACCAAGTGAGTCACTCAGGTGCCCCTCAATCTGTCTTTTAATGTTGACCTGGAAGAGACCCTTTCAAGATTATCCAAGCCTGTTATTTGCAAATAACTTTCTTTTTTTTTTTTTAATATTTATTTATTTTTGAGAGAGAGAGACAAAAGTGTGAGCCGGGGAGGGGCAGAGAGACAGAGAGAGAGACAGAATCCAAAGCAGGCTCCAGGCTCAGAGCTGTCAGCACAAAGCCCAAGGCAGGGCTCTGGCTCGTGAACTTCAAGATCATGACTTGAGCCGTAGTTGGACACAAGCAACTGAGCCACCCAGGCACCTCTGCAAATAACTTTCAATGTCCCATAGCAAGTTAACATCAAAGCCAAGACTAGAACCTGAGATCTCCAGATCCCTAGATTGGGGCTCTTAACACCACGCTCTTGCCACCACTGCCTTCTCTAGAGAATTCTGTCCTTAGTGAAATAATTTTAGGGTAAAAAGAAGAACAGACATGCAAACGTTAGGTCAGATAGCTTCCCTGTCCGACTGCCAGAGGCCAGCCATGTCAGTATGCTTTGGCTACCCTGACAAGGACACTATGTTTCCCTTCACCCTCCTAAGCGCGTCAGAACTACAAAACAGTGTGGAGTCAGCCGCTCACCAGCTGTAGGACTTTGGGCAACTCGATGCTCTCATCTGTATAAATGGGTTGATGGAAGCCATGCAGGAAAATCACTAGGGAATACTTGGCACCAGGTAGCAACTGCTCGGTAAATGTTTGGTGTGGTGGTTGTTCCTTAGGAGGGATCGCCCCGTGTCCCCCTTCCTCACTGGGGAGGCCCCGTTTAGAATACCTCACGCAGACCTAAAGGTGAATCTGAGCTCACTAAGGCTACTTTCTCAGCCCAGAGGAGAGGTATTGTTGCCAACCAAGGCGATCTTTGGAATCAGCCCAGCTCCCCTCCCCCACCCGGCCCCTCAGTTGTAATGGGTTTCCTCACCTGTCCCCACGGTTTTAATGGGTTTCTGAGCACCGGCCCAGGCCATTTGGATTTCTACATCTTGGCTCTCTCTGCCTCTTAACCCACCAGGAGGCTTATAGGGAAAAGGCTCCAGTATTTCCTTTTCCACTGCGGCTCCTGCCCGACTGTGCATTACACAAGATAATGGAAATACGGAAAGAGGCGTTTCCCCCACGGGGTGGCTTGTCCGTTTCTTTTTTTTCTCCCAGTTATGTAAAAATACATATTTTATACCATTGCTCAGCCTGGGGAGCCTTTAGGGCTTTGCTTTTCTCCACCCAGCAGGCCCTGGCCTTGTAACTCTGAAGCGACTCTCATCGACTCTTCCATTACACTCTGATAATTCAATAAAAAGGATTTTAGAAAACAATTAGGGGCAGTGAAGACAGGTCAGCATGATGCTCTCTTCAGACTTCTCAGCAAGTCCTTCAAGCTCCAGGGAACAGTCGTGAAGCACTGCCGGCTCTCAGCTTATTGGAGTGAGGAGGGGACACATGGGGGATGGAAGTGGAGCACTGAGTGACTGTGGCCCTCAGTGAATTGCCTGTTTCCTCTTCCATCAAAAAACGATGGCCTTTGATCTTAGGCTGATGGAGGCCTCAAATTCCCCCTCTGCCACTAACTGCATAGCATGTCACTTGACCTTTTCTAGTCTCGGCTTCCTCATCCATAAAATGGGGATGCTGGTAGCACTTAATTCACAAGATTGTTGTAAGTGCTCTGTAAAGTTAGCTATCGGCACTCTTGGCTCACTACATTCCCTTCCCAGTGCTAGGCAAAATTGTGAGCCCCTGTGCAGCCTCCCTACCCCACCATTAAAATCTCTTATGCTATCTCTGCCCAAGCTTGGAAAAACTCTTTCAAACAGGCTGGTTAGTCTTTTCAACCTTCCCAGGGATCATTTGCATTTTAAAGAGGGCTCTTGGGTGTGCTCCTTTCAAAAGAATGAGAACTTTGGAGCTAGTAAACTCCGCCCAAGGTTCTTAAACTGGTGTCTGTGGATGGGCTTCTGGGAGGGCCACGTACCCTCTGAGATTGTATCCAACCTTGTCAGTGCAGGTGGTAAGGTCCACTGCGTTCATTAGCTTCTCAACTGAGGGGAAGAAAAATCAAAATCTTGGAGTTAGATCTCTCTGAAGGCCAGTCCGCTGTTAATGGTAGAATTTCGAGTATCTACAGTGAAAAGAAACGTTGACCAGAGGCCTTGCTGGAGCCGCTCCAGGTGGATGACAGACCCTACCGCCGGTGTTCACTGGGCATCCATCACTGGGACAGCAATAAAGTTTCCTTATTGCAGGGTGTGACTCCGATGAACTTTCATTTCCTGGGTGTCCTCGCCACTGATCGGCCAGGAGGCTAATGATTAATTCCTCAGGCACTCTGGTTGCTTTCATCTCCTGGCAAAGCGGTGGTAATACTGGTACTCAGACTGAGAGGGGCACCCCCTCCCCAAGCCTCTCTGGCAGGAGCTTAACCCCCCGCTGGCTGGAGAGGAATCCCAGGGAAATTGAAATTGCTAGAAATTCCAGCCAGATCAAGCGCCCAGCACTGTGGAGAGAGGAGGCTCTGTCTTAGGGGCTCCTGGAACCTCTGCTGGGCCAGGCTGCCTGCCAGCACACATGGGAGGGGACTGGATATCCAGCTTCAGCCTCCTGTTAAAATAATGGTAACCGATAGGGGTGCGGCCCTTGCCCTTTGCGGCTCAACCACTCACGTCTGCAAAAAACATTTTTATTTCAAACACAAAGTAAAGAAGGTAGTATACTGCGTACCATGTAGAGTGTAATGAAATGCCACGTATCTATCATCTAGGTCCAATCATTATTTTTTGCAATTTTCATAATTTCCTAATTTGTAAACTTTATAGTTGTACCAAGTCTTGTTGCACCTTTCACCCCTCTTTAAAAAAAAAGACTGTTTTACAGCAGTTTTAATAATTAAAAAATTTTTTTAATATTTGTTTATTTTTGAGAGAGAGAATGAACACAAGAGGGGGAGGATCAGAGAGAGAAGGAGACAGAGTATCAGAAGCGGGCTCCATGCTGACAGCAGAGAGCCCAAAGTGGGGCTTGAACTCACGAACCATGAGAACATAACCTGAGCTAAAGTTGGATGCTTAACTAACTGAGCCACCCAGGTGCTCCAACAGCAGTTTTATGTTTACAGCAGATTTGAGAGCAAAGTACAGAGATTTCCCAAATACCCCTTGACACATCATAGCATCCCCTAACACACCCCACCAGAGTGGTACATTTGTTACAGGTGATGAGCCTACATTGACACTTACAATCACCCAAACTTTACATTACAATTCTATGAGTTTGAACAAATGTATAACGACATGTATCCCCCATTATAGAGTCACACAGAGTCACTTCACTGCCCTAAAAATCCGCTGTGCTCAAAACAAAACAAAACAAAACAAAATCCTCTGTGCTCTGCCTGCCTGTTCATCCCTGCCTCACTGCTAACTCCTGTCAACCACTGATCTTTTCACTGTCTCCATAATTTTGCCTTTTCCAGAATGTCATATAAGTGTTTGGGGCACAAGTCAACCCC